TCTTCTGAAAGTTATATATTTATCTGCTTCATTTAACAAATACGTTAATTTCATTATATACTGTTAATTGTTACAATATATGAAGTGAAATGGAAGTATCAGTTGGTCTCCTGGGGAGTGGGCGCATGGTGTTTATTGTTAATTTAGATGCTAATATTATTGATATATTTTGAAGACTATGTATTTGTACTTCAATTGTATTTATGTTCTGTTTATAAAAAAAAAAGTGGGGGAGAGAAAAAGAAATATGTTAATTTTAACAAGAATGGTCAACCTACCATTCAGCCAAAAAATTACTGAAATTAATCTCTGGGAGCTCTATACATAATAGTAAATACCACAAAGCGTCTGAAACACACAGAAAAGCTTTGTTCAGTCGGTCGATCAGTTGATCATTCATTCATTCTTTCATTCTATTTATTAGTCACCCAATAATAATAATTCCCTAAGCAACAGACAAACAACTTAGGATCATAAAATCCATACAAAATGGTTTTATAAAGCAGTAATAACACTATTAATGAATTAAAACAAGAAAACTAAAAATCATAACAAGAAAGAAATAAGGCAATATCTAAAAATGTCTACATGTTGCAGAGAATTAAAAAAAAAAGTTCATAATAGGCTGTGAGAATAAAATGGTGTTTGCCTGGTGCAAAAAAGAGATCACAGTAGATGCCAGATGAGCCTTCTTTGGGAAATTATGCTAGATACAAGGAGTCTTTAATGACTGAGATAATCCATGGAGACCTTCTCTGAGACCCAGAGTCAGTTAAGATATGGCAAGTGGCTGCAAGAGAAAGGGCATTCTCATTACTGATGAAAAAACACGGACCTTCAGATACTGCAGTCCCAAGCTATGAAGCTGCATCTGCTTTCTTGAGGATTGGAAAGTGTATTTTTCCAGTCTATGGGTCATTGTTTTGTTTTCCATATTTGTTGGCATAATCTTGTTCAGTCTCTGCAGCTTGGGGTAGTTCTATTGGTAGCCTAACTGCTCTTTTGCTTTCCTTTTTCACTTTGTGCAGCTTTCACTTAGTTCAAATTTTGCAGATTCTCCTTCACATAATTTCTTTTCAAAGGAATTTTTCATCATTTTATTTCTTCTGTATAGGTCTACTCTATATTCTTCCACCTTATCTTAGTTTTCCCTCATCAGATAGTATGTTCCCTTGTTTGTCTTTTAATATTCCTAATCTAGATTTGAATTTCCCTTTGATTCTTGGGTCTTCTGGAAAAGGTTTCTTGTTTTTTTCCCCTTTTGTTGCTCTCTTCTATTTCTTTGCACTGATCATTGTAATACTTCTTTTTGACTTTACATGATAGTGACTGAAAAGTTGCATTCATGATTCTGATCCTTTCTGTCACCTTTTGCCTTTTCTTTCACCTGTCCTTCACAATTGTGATTATTTCCTCCATCATCCATCTAGGCATTTTCTTTCTTGTTGCTACAGAAATTGCCTTTTCCCCAAATAATATCTCTACTTTCATTCCACAGTTCTTCTGATCAGTTAAGTTCCATAATGTAAATCTGTTCTGTATGTGGACTTTAAATTCCTCAGGAATGTTAAGTTTTATTTTGTTTGTCCTACTGTTCTTTTTCAGCTTTATTCTAATATTTGATATTTATACTCCTGTCTCTAATTGTTGATACTCCTGTCTGATTTCTCTATTGATTGTCTGGTGATGTGCATGCATAGATACCTGACTGTTTGCCTGAAGTATATATTTGTTGTTGTCTTCACAGAATTTTGTAAGAGTCTTCTGGTTTTTTCTGATCCTAGGCCAAATGTTCCCACAAAATTTGAATCTGTTTTTTAGCTACTTTTGCATTGCAACCATCTATTATTGTTAGCATGGCTTGTTTTGGTGTGTTACCATTTTGATTTCTTCTTCTTCGGCTTCTTTTTTTCTCATAGACTTGACTGGTGATTATGTTGATAGGTTTTCTAAGATATCTGATGGATACGAGTCGATTGGATTTTGCATTATAACCCCTTAGAACCTGCTGTACATCCTGCCTCAGTATTACAGCAACTCCATTTATTTTGAGTTATCATTTCCAGCGTAAAATATTTTGGTTTGTCTGACTGTCCCTTTCAAGTCCACTTCAGTCTGCTGACACCAAGTACTGCAATGTTTAACCATTCTATTTCTTACTTTATGGTTTTCAGTTTGCCTTGAGTCATACTTCTCAGATTTCGTGTTCCCACAGTGTGGGTTGTGAAGCATCAGAATCTCCTATCAACTTTTTGCATGTTGGCCTCTAGACTGCTTTTTGGCTCTGATCTAGTTATGTCATTAACAACAGAACTATTCATACCTGGCTTTGGTTCTTCCCCAGGAGGTTATTGAATGCCTTCTTACCTGGGGGTCTCATGTTTTGACACTATTTCTTATTTTATTTTGGATTGTTTCATCATAGGACTTTCAAGATAATAAACATTCAGAAGCAGTTTACCATTACCTTCTTCTGCATTGCACTATTAAGAGTTAGCTGGAGTGTCACTGCCATTTTCTGTAAAAGATCCTCCACCAGTGTTGCTTTCTACTATTGCTGTTCCTCAGAAGTTGCCCTTCAAGAGTTTCTTCCTGCTCCCGCCCCCCAGTCACCATTAGAAACACCCATTTCTTCTGCTGATGTGACCATTACACCTTTGGAGAGTGTTTCAGGAGGAGACCTGATAGTGAAAGTCCAGTTGCATTCTTTGTGTTGAAATGTACTGTGTAGTTGGAAGCTAAACCAGGTTCACTGTAACGTATTTATATATGCTCTTGAATAATGGGAGGTTGTGGATGGATTCATGGATTACCGTGCATTATTCACAGTATTTTTTTAGAGCTGGTGTTAGGTTTGCAAGGCCCCTTAGTCCGTCTATTGATTTAGATAGTCTGAGGAACATCCTAGTTTTATCTCTGACAAGAATATTAAACCGTTAAATTTCTCATTCTCTATGAATTGCCAGAGTTGCATATCTTAGAGGCATACGTCTGATGTGTGTTCTTGCTTCAATTTTTTTAAATATTATCTTAAACTGAACATGTTAGGCCTTTTGGTTACCTTTGGTGGTCTTTCAGGAGTCACATTAAACATTATCAAACATTGAAAATAATGGTGCAAACTAATACAATGGAAATGAATGGGTTACATAGTTCCATTTTAAAGTGTGTGAAGGTATAATTTTTGAATGAAGTTGTTGTGTATACTTTCAGAGAAGGTGCATATCAACCCCCCAAATCCTCATCCTGACAACCAGGTGGTAAAAGCCATATTTTGACTCCATAGTGAGAGACCCATTCTATCTGAAATGGCTGAATGATTGACAATTTTTCATGAATATATACTGTGGCTGAAACATTTGATGACTTTGGACAATTAAGAATATGTGTGAATAATTCTGTGTCAATATTTTTATCATCAATATTATTTTGTCATGCAAAGCACAGAATAGAGAGGTTATTGTTAGAGATTAGTTCTTTGAGCCTTTTCTCAAGATGTATTAGCTATGCAAAATGAACTAAATGGAAGCTTTCATTTACTATCACAAGGATTAGTAACTGGAATATATACAATAAACATTTTGATATTTTGAATGTCAGATTTCTATGTACCTGCTATTGTAGATGTGTCTTCTATATAAACAGTGAGCTTGCTGTTCCACCGAGCTAAGGTCAGCTTGACCTAACTTTTCACACCATAGTATTGATTGTAAAATCTACCAATGCTTTGATTGTAGGTTTACAAGAACTGTGTGATGATGCTGTGATATCTTAATGGCTTTAGACATATATAGAGATTGGACAAAGCAGAAGTTTAATAGTGGATAAAAAGTCAAATGGTATTTCTTGTTAAATGTATATACATAAAATAGGGAAATTACACAATAATCAACCCAGTTTTTTGCCTTCAGCCTGTCTGAGGCCATGGGGGTTGGAGTCTGACCACTAGTCCGAAAAAGGAAAGGCTGTTTGCAAGAGTTCTGGGGTTCTTTTCCTGGAAAAGGTGAGAGGCTAAAGGCAGAACTCTGTCAAATAAACCTTGTGCCTTATATAAGCATATATATCTATATGGAACTGTTGTTAAAATGTTGGAGGCAGATGTTCTTTTCATTTACCTCTCAAATGGGTAGGTTAAAAAATCAAGATCTAAATTTCATGCTCTGCTTCAAGCGAGTGAAATGAGACCTGCTCTCTGTTTCACTTGCCAGTACTTGCTGCTTCATATTTCCTAGTCCATCAATAGTAAACAGTCTAAATATCAAGGAAACATGAAAATGTCAAAAGAAACATTGCTTTAACATTTAGAATTCAGGTTTGCAAGACACATCTATTGCAATACTACACTACTTTCTATGGACTGGAAATCTTTAAATCTTCCCCCTTTTTTTCGTAATGCCTCATTTTGTTCAAAAATTGTTCATTTGACTTTTCTTATCTGTGTAACTTTTTGTTTTTACTTCTGTATACATTTCTTTTAAAATTATTATTTTTGCTAATTAGTAATTTGACAGATCCTTTAAAATAAAGTTACCATTGTACATATTGATTTTAATATATGGTAATTTCTCATTTATTGTTTCTGTCATTAAGATCATTATTTTAATTATATTTATTATAAAGATCTGTTTAATAATGGTATCACTAGAGGGCAGTATTGATTAAATTAGTTTAATGAATAATCAAAATATGACCTTGTATCTTAATATCAGGAAATCACCTGAAATAATCCAAATAATTTACTCTATTATAGAATACTGGGAGCAAATAATTCTGCATTTCAGAATATCCCTTAGGTTATCTGATAGTAAAATTGTATAACTCCCCACCTTTTTGAGACAGCAGTAACCATGTATAGTTAAATCTTCACCTATTTAAGGTAGACAAAGTATTTTCTAATATTTTTAGAAGAGGGATCAGTAAGTATTTAAAGATGTTGTGGATGAAACACTGACACAGGTTAAAATCATAGTGTTGACTCATCTGTTCTTATCGACTTGCAGGTCTCCTGACAAATGCAACACAGAGAAGCCTTGTGAGAGTTTTTAGGCTCTGTGGGCTACATTCCCTAGTCAAGTTTCACTGCTGTGGATCATCGTCCATTCTATGTCATCAGTTCAACTGTCTATTTCTCTGTATCTCATCAAAGACAGCATAATTCTATGTTATGAGCTAAAGTCTGTTCTACCATACTAAGGAGCACTGGACTAAGGAATAGAAATGTAAGAGAAATGCTTGGGCATTAGCAATACAAAAACAACAATCACCAGTTCACAGTTAACGTCTCATCTGCGTTATACACCACTTCTGGACTTGATCTATGGTCATGTTTTAATCTGAAGAGTCAGCTACACTGGAGAGTACTCATCCCAATCAGCCTTAGAGAAGACTGTTTTGTCTACGGGAGGACACTAAGGTGCAGAAGACAATTTCTTCTTGTGCCCAAGACTGCCTGAATTGCTTTTATTTTCTTATGTTTCAGTATATACAATAGACCAAAGAGCAAAATCTATTTTAAAGTGGACACAATGTTACTGTTAACAAGGTTATTTGGGTTCAGCAGTATGGAGATCACCCTGCACGAATTCAGCTCGCCCAGTGCTGTGAAGTTGCTGTCCAGCAAAAGTAATTATGGAATACTGCAGAAAAAGCTGGAACTGCTCTTGGAAAAAAGTACACTTAAAAATATAAGGGAACAAGGAGAGAAAATGACCATTCTTCAGCAAGAAAACAGAACTTTGATCAAAAACAACACAAACTGTCTACGCACCACCTTTACTCCTCTGTGCTTAGATTGACTTCTCGTACTAAAATCATTTTTGAGTTTAACCAGTTCAACATGCCTCTTCTATGGTTCCATTTTTTGATCGTTAAAAGTTGGATAATACAGTATTTGCAAAGAGCATGTTCGGTCATCTGTGGCCTATGTCTCATCTGAAACACCATTTAGCACCAGAAAGCAAATCCAAGGGGTGGGGGGGAAGTAACACTTGTTTGAAAGAGATCATTAAATGTATTTTGAAAAGCCTAAAGTTATATATTTAACAGTTTTTATATGTTGTATATTTGTAGAAAATCCTATTTAACAATTAACGTGGTAACTCTGACAGAGATGACACAAAAAATGGTTCAGAGTTAAGTTGTTGTTTTTATTACTTCAGTTGTCTCTGAAATGACTGGTGTAGTTTGCTTTCTTCCATTGGGACATTCTGGATGTAAAGCATGACCAGAGAGGACTCTGTAGTAAAGCAAAGAATAATGTTGTTTATATTACATAAATGCATTCAACCATTGCACTGTTGGAAGGCTTTCTCTCTCTTTCTCTCTTTTGTTCTCCTTTTCCTTTCCCCCTTTTTCTTTGAGTAGGGTGGTCTTTTACCAGTAAAACAGTGTAAAATAGTTTAACCATTTCCTTTCCACATTGAGTTATGTTGTCTCTCTTCCCTTGTTTCCAATTTGGTATAAAAGCAAGCTTGTCCCTTAACCAAGATGTAGATGGGTGGGATTTTTGTTTGTTTGTTTTTTTCATTCTTTAGAAAGCCCTCTTCTCTATTATTATAGGGTAGTGATAATTTGAAAAAGAATATTATTTAAAATACTAGAAAAGGAAAGGAGGATAATAACTCCAAATGTGGTCCCCCTTTTGTCTACAAGTCTAGGTCATAGTGGTATGATGAGATCAGCAAATGGGTTTTTCTCCTTCCCCACAGATATTTGCCAATATAAAACTTTTTCCCCAATGTCCACTGTAGTATACTACCTAAATATTCCAATTAACTTTTAGTATTATGCTAGTTCTATGCTACTAAAGAAAAATATATAGGGATTGTTCAAGCAACCATAGATGAGAGGTATGAGAAAAAAGTTCATTTATTTATGCCCTTTCCCAATTTTCAGGATTTTTTTTTAATGCACAGGTTAAGGAAACCGTGAATTATAGGTGACAGTATCTATGAATAAAATACTTGTGTCGTTGGTCTTATTTCTGCATAAGGATTTTAATCAGTGTCCAAGTAGCAATTAAAGCCCAGCCACTTGAAAAGTGTTATGAACTGATTTAAAGTGTCATGCAATAAATGGTGGTAGATACTTCACCTGTATTATAAGAAATGAAGAGCCAGGTCCCTCACTCCACTGACTTTCTCTTTTGTTATGGTTTTATTTTTTGAAGGGAGTGTAGTAGCCTTATTTAGTAAATACTGAACAAAAATTAAAATGTTTCAACATTTTTGTTGCTTTACAGTATTCAGTTTTGTGTTGGTTCAGCTAAATTATGAAAAAATAAAGAAAATCCTTTTATAAGTGAGACTCTTGTTTGCTGCTCCTAACATGAGATGGCTATTTCTTGGAAGGAGGGAGTGTATGAGAAGAGAAAGGGTCTGTGAGGAGAATCAAACTTGCTTTTAATGAAAAAGTGACTGAATGGTTGGAACCAGGTCTGGGTTGTGCTGGGTTTGATAATCTGAATGGTTCTCAAAACCCAAAGATATTTGGAAACTGTAAAATGATGTGTGAATTTCTACAGTCTAAAGTGAATAAGTAGTTTGTTAAGTTCTAACCGAATTGACAAATACGTGTACTTAAGGTAGTTTGATTGTCATGGTTATGAAAATGACTTGGATCTAAAATAAGAAAGTTCACAGAAAGATGCTTTTCTCTGTCCATGTTCCACAGCTACCCACAACTCCCAAAAGCTTTCTGGAGCATTGCATAGAATAACCCTGAATTGGACTGGATGATACCTAATGACCAGTATGCAATGCAAATACAGTTTTCCCACAATTAACTAGGACAAGAAATTGGTTTCCTTGTGTCCAGTGAAAGATTTGATGACAAAATAGTAAAGAATGTGCTAACTATTGTTGGAATAGTAGAAATACAATTATTAAATTTGTAATTCTATACATTAGCAGTTGGATGTAAGACACGGTAAACTCAATGAGATTTACTTCTGAGTAGATATACATAGGATTGTGCTGTAAACCCAGTTATTTCAAAGTTGCAACCTTTTTAGAAAGATGCAATATTTGCTAGTGCTGACATACAAGTGTGTTCTGAGAACATACTTATATGCACTTAGCGTATATAAATGCTGCCCCAAAAGTTAGTGCTTGGTTTTAAAGATCAAGCTCTTTAAAAGCATTTGAATTATAAGAAAGGTTTTGCTACAATCCTAAGCATATTTGCCAACTGAAAAAAGTGAGTTTACTTTTGAGAAAATATGATTGCATTCTTAGATATGTGTGTTGAGGGGAGTGTATACATTTTATTTTTTCCATTAAACCTAAATTTGCCCTTTTTTAATGTCCTTTGTTTTGCTGAACGTATTCCCTGACTTGATTCAGCTCGGTCTTTCTTCCTCTTGCATTACTTTTATTATGTGGGTGATAAGGACATTTTCCAAAGATATGTGGAAACAGGATTAAATATCATCCATGGTGCTTCCTGCAAGTCAGAAGAAAATCCACAAAAAACAAGCTAAGAAGCAATCCAATGTACTCTAATTAGAGATGAATTTCAGCCTAGTTTTATATGACAGCAGCCTCAGGCAATTTCCAAAGGCAGCTCATTCCAAGCTGTCTTTTCGAAATGTACCATTTTGAATGAACAGCCACCATTTGCTTGGCTGTATTAACTGAAATGTGTTTCTCTGTAGAGTTTTAATGGAAAAGATCATTTATTTCCTATATGCATTAAGGCATACATTTTTGCTTCAGAAAGATATCCCTTTTGATGCTCTTAACTTTTATAAACAAAGGTGTTCAAAATAAAACAGTACTGCACACGCTTGTTTTCTTGGCTTGCAAACTGGTCTCTAAGCACTCCTGAGGCCACCAAAATGATTGCGTGTTACAAACAGCAGGTGAGGAGAAATCGTGTCAGAGTTTTCAAAAAAATGAATGCAAGTCAGCCTACCACTTTGCAACTGAAATTTAAAGAACATAGTAATTGCCTTTCTGGATGAAACCAAGGTCCATCTAATTGAGCATAATGTTTTAGCTACATTCAGAAAGGCTACCCTAAAAGCTCTCTTTTCAGAGCATTTTCTTTTAAAAAAAAACAGAATGTTTTTGAAACCGGTAGTCTAAATCATAATGTATTAAAGCCTTTTAATGCAGTCCTGGTAATCTTTACAGCTTGATCCAGTGCATGTTTACTTCAAAGTAATCCTGTGATTAATGGTGCAGACTTATAAGTATGCATAGGACTACAGACTTGCAGAACCATCCTATGATTGTCTACCGAGAAGTAAGCCCTATTCAGTTCAGAGGGACTTCCAAGTAAATCTGTATATGATTGCAGCCTTGGTAACTTCGAACACACAGAGACACACAGGCTTTGAGTCTTTTGCTCCAAGGGCCATAAGATGGCAGTGGACACCAGGTCAGACATCACAGGCTATCCTAGTGGCTGGGGAACTTGGGCCAAAGGTGCTGTTGCACTTGTTTCCTGCTTGTAAGTTTACCACGGACAGCTGAATGTTCAACCAGACTGAGCCGTGTGGCTGACCCAAAGTGGCTGCTAGTACATTCCTATGATGCAGGCACACACTGGCGATGGACGAGGCCTGGGTCCTCTCCCCACTTTGTCTCACCTTCTCTCTTTCGAACCTCCCTGCTCTCCTCTGTGCTTCTGACACAGCCAAAAGAGTTATCCCTGCACTGGTAATACATGGGAACATGAATTGCTGGGCGGGGGAATGATTTGTCCTTACATTATTTATATTTACATTGAAACCAAAAGAAAAACATAGCTGAATATATTTATTTCATAAACCATGTTAGTCTAAACTAATCATTTCCCTGAAGTCACAATGGAAAGATGGAGAGTGACAGACATTGTATAAATCTGGTAGAATCAGGCTCAGTTTGTACCTTCTCTCATACTGAATATAAACTTCTTAAGCAATAGCACATCACCAAATGAAACAGAATATACAAACATTCTAGGCAGATAACTGGAATTCTTTCAGAAATAGAATTCAGTTGCATTATTATTGCTGAAATATTTTAAAACCTGGCATGTGGAGTGTCCTTTTGTAGTGTACAAATATGGCAACAGAAGGATGAGTATAGGTGTTATGCCAACAATTGCTTGAAGTTACGACAGCTTTTGCAATAAGTACAGACATCATTTGTGTTATTCAACATATGAGTAAATGGTAGCTTGAGTAGAAAGCTGCTTACTCATCCAGGTAGGACTGCATAAATGATAAGACTTAATCTGGGCCAGAAAAATTAGGAACACCAAGTGCTATTTTGTTGTTTCAAAGAGAAATGTTCAATTCTTTATCATTTCTCAAGGTCCAATGTGTACTTGCTTCTTGAAAGACTGATGTGAAGCACGAAGTAAAGGAAAAAGTATTTTATTTTTAAAAGGTGTGATTTCCAAGTCAGCTACATCCTGGTCATCAAGTTTTTCCATGTTTATCTTTGTCTCATGAAATCATTTCCCTAAGGCCTTCTGCCAAAAGTTCATCTCCTAATGCTTAAGATACCAGATTGCCTAGAAACTCAAAAACAGCACTTCTGTTACTATTATAACAATGTTATGCTGATTTTTCATCAGCATAAGATCTATTTGTGGAAATAGAGTGAGCAAGATGGGGGTTTTCATAGCAACAATATGGAAGAGTAGCTGGTTAGCAACTTTTTACTCGGTTTTTACCAAAAGCAGCTCTCTCTACAGAGGTAGCAGTTAATTTTGCTTTG